GCTTTTTAATGCCCCAAACTGTAGCTGAAGTGAGGCAGGTGGGACAATCAACTAACACACAAATGAAAAATCAGGTATTCAGCTTAAGATTACAATTATATAATTCATTTATTATTAATATAATAATTGGGTTGTGGTATCAAATGGTCCCAGCTGCTGTGTTAGGTACTGCAGAAGCTAAGGAGCGAGTGCAGCCGAAGCAGAAATTACATTAGTGGTGAAGGAAGAAACCAGCAGCACCAGAAGAGGAACGGATTTGTTGGAGGCCCCACGTTGTCTGTAACAGCTCTGAGACTGAAGCCAGCCTCCCGACCTCCAGCTCGTTTTCTTTTGTACTAAACTACACTGCTGCTCATGTCAGGATATTTAAAAAATTTGGCAGTTTTATTAAATGTTGGTATTGATTTTGGCAAGCTACTTGCAACATACACTACATGACAAGGAGTTTAAAAATCTCACTTAACAGGAGATGCAAATTTCTTGGTTTTGTGAAGCAACAACAAGCAAAAAACCCCATAAGTAAAATAGCCTCTGGAAATCATTATAGGCTATTTCTGGCTAAAGGAGGAAAACAGTTTTGTTAATTATAATTCCTGATAAGGAATACAATCCTTGAATAACAGCTCTTAATAAATCATCACTATTTTAATTTTCATGGTTTGCTGCCTCCTAATGTTACCAGTTTGAGGGCTGATAAAATTTTTAATGTATGAAGTTATCAACAAGTCATTTCTTGTTGCAATCACAGATTAAGAACCGGATCCTGAAAGTTGCTGAGCACGTGCAACTGGCACTGGAATTCAGGAACTCCAAAGATCCACCCAATGAGCTATTAAAATTATCTGGATTCTAGCTGGTTTGATATGCTTCACTTATCAACAGAACCTAAATTCTTTAGTAACCTCAGGATATCTCTGCCGGGTACCAAAGAACCGGACAACCACAGAAGATACACAGATCAAAAACTTTCTTCCCGGTTTTTAAAGAAATTCCTTATAAAACCTGACAGCTTCCTAGGTCTGGCTAACGCAGGTTCAAGTACAGTGCCCTCAGGAAAAGGAGAAAATGCAAGTAATTTTTTCTACTGCTCCACCTTTGACACTAGGCAAGGGCTAATGATGATGATGGTGACAGGAATATGATCTAGAGGTACCATTTCTGAATTGCTGTAGGAAAGGACACATTGATCAGAACAGTTTTCATCACTGCTATGGCACGGTATGTCAGAGAATTGGGGGGACCAACTGAGTAAGTGACATACTTTTACTTGTATCTTCATGCTAGTTACAAAAGAGAATATCCCTTCATGATCCTGGTACAGCACAAAGCAATCAGAGGGAAGACTGTGCATCAGAGATTTCATTTGCAGAACATCTGAAGGAAACAAAGTACAAATTCTTGCATTTTGAACGTTCTCCTGGTGAAAACTGTCACATAAAATATTTTTAATGCTATTTAAAGGCAAATTCTATTTGTATCAGATTTGCACACAGAGATTTGAAAATAAAAAGGATTTGAAAAGGAAATAATGTGAATTCAGACAGCTATTTCTCTTCACAAGTTAGCAATATTATTGTACTATACTAGGTCCTGCTAAAGACCTTTTTTTTTTTTTTTTAACATGTACAGCATAGATTCCCTATAGCAATCAGCAGTGCTGCAGGTATTGCATGTTTAACAAATGCGCACACAGTTGGCAAATGACTTAGAGAGAGATTTTGTGCAGCTGTTGTTATGATACTGTGGAGTTGCTGCGAATACTCTACAGAGCAATGCTGATATCATAATTGGCTTCCACAAAAGCACATTAATGCAGGCCGCCAGATAAAAGTGGGTCAGCTTCCACTTACCAGCCAGTTTAGAATGAAAGGCCAAACTACACTGAAGAGAAAAGATTTGTATGGAAGCCATTAGGTAGTAGGATAAATGTTTTTTATTTCATGTGGGAAGAAAGAGCTCATCTCTTTTAAATCCTTGAATATAAATGCTGAGCTGCTCTTTCATCTGAGCCTACAGTCACCCTTTGTTGCATGCAAATAACTAACACAGACCAAACCCTACTAACTGGAAAAGAAAACATGGCAACACACAGATTCCCATTGCACTCGGAAGAATTTACATATATTAGTGTTGCCAAAAAAATCCCGCATAATGGACTCTGAAACAAGGTTCTAAACAGCGTGAATAGCCTCATCTCCATGATCCTGGTGCTCTCTTATCAAAACGATTATAGGTCAAGGAGGGTGACAGAGATTTGCCAAGGAAGAGCATTTTGTGGTGATAGAACTGTATTCACAAACTTGCACGCTCACAAAGCAGAATTTCAAATTCCCCATCTCACATTCAAAGCTTTCTTTACCTCTCCTTTACTCTGAGCTCTGTCCTTGTCTCTTCTCATTCACTCCCCTTCTGAGTCTTTGTCCTCCATTTGTGCTTCTCGCCTCCTGCTCACGCTTCAGATTCCCTGGCACTGCTCAGACTTTTCTGTTCATGGAATAGCAGGTCCCCAAAACTTGCTTAAGTCAAAAGAAAGAGTCCCAATGACTTTAGTAAGCTTTCACCTAATTCTGACCCAGACTTCTCTTCATCTTTGCATCGGGATGTGAAAATGCACCTTTTGCAGTGAACGCTCCAGATACTGTTAAATGCATAATAATAAAGTGTCCTGCAGGATCAGGAGACATCTGCTAAATAACCACTGTATCTGTATACCACAAACTCCCCCGAGGCAGCGGTACGTTACTCATTTGGGCTCGTTCTACTTACTATGCAGAGCTGTGAGCAGCACCAGCAAACAGACAACACCCATTTGTCATTTGAGAAGTTAGTCTTGCTTCACTCTGAAAAGACTTTTGGGGGCACCCATATTTAGACACAATTTATCCTCAAATAAGCACAT